TTTATCTTGTGAGCAAAAGGAAATCAGAAGTTCTCTATTTCCTGAAAAGGTTACAGATGTAGAATATAAGACTCTGAAGTCAGAAATGTGGTAATTAAAACATCATTGTCTTTTGAGAAAGAGCCATGGGAGAAATTGGAAAAATTATATAGATATTCTTTTAAATCAAAATGACCAACTAGAAATATACTGTCTGTGGCTGAAAGACAAGAGCAACAGCTGCAGGAAAGCCTTGGTAAATTACCTGATCAAATCCCACATGAAGCATTCTCTAATTCAGACCAGCACAGCCTCATCCCTCAGCACCCTGCTGCCCCTCAGGCCCCCCCAAGGCAGAATGTCTGCATCAGGATGGCAGTGGTGCCATCTGAACACAGACAGGCCTGGGGAGTGAGTTCCAGACACAGCCTTGTAAGGCACCAGAAGGCTGTTCCACAAGGATGCACAGACATCCACTCATCAGCTGAACAAAACTGAGCAGAAAAGCTTTGCTGGCAGGTTGGATGGGGCAAAAACCCCAAGCAGAAGTCCTGCAATACTTTTGGAATTAGCCAGCCTTCTAGGGGGATTATCCCAGTAAAATATTTGTCTTGTTCATCCTGCTTTTCCCCAAGCTTGGCCACCAATCCAGTAGGATCTGTGTGGTTTCACATCCAGCAGGGCTGGAAGCACTGCCACCTCTGTTGGCAGCTCTGCTGATGGCACAGATGACATCCCCAGTCGCAGATGCCTCTTACACCTGGCAGGGTTTGGTGCAAGAGCCTGCATTCAGCACACAGCTCAGAACCTGTCAGCCCCACTCCTGCCAGCAAAAGCTGCAGAGCTGCCACCCCACACCTGAAGGACCAAATGACCCCCAACCCTTCTGTCACCAGGTGTGCTCTGACACACTGGCAGTGTCCTCCCCTCTCAGGCTCTGAGACACAAGTCCATCAGCAGCACCATACAAAAGGATCTGAGGACCATACAAAGGCCCTGAGCTCCAACAAAGCATTAAAAAGCTTCTCTTATTAAAACAACCAGCAGAAGGGAACTTTAGATTTTGGAGAAAGAAGCAGACTTGTAGGACTGAAGGTGAAATGCATTATCAGTTTGTTCTTAAGCCACCAAAGGTACCTGGTACAGAGCAGGGTTTTCTGGCACTGCTTACTTTCTAAACCTCTGGAAACAGCAGCAGTATCTTTAGATCCTTAAACACTCAATCTGGCTGGCATTTTGGAAAAATCCCCATGTTTGTATAACAGAGCAACCCCTTGGTTTGCCCTGGTGCTTGCCCAGAGTCATTTCAACGGGGTGAAGCTGTACACAGAGCTCAGGAGCCCCACCCGCCCCTTAAGCCCTTAATCCTCTGCCCTGGACGACTGCTTACTTCTCACTGCAAAAAAATTATCTGTGCTGCAATGTTTAATCCATCACAGGACGGCAGCTTACACTGGAAAACACTGCACTGCCCCTTCCTCTGGGACTGCCCATGCTCCTCAGAGCGCACACTGCCCTCCCTCGCTGCAGGCAGCACTCCCACTGACATACTTGGGGGTAGTTCAACAAGTCTAAAAAAGTTTCAACCAGGAATGACATTTTAAACCAAAAAGCACAGCCATGCCACAGGAAATCCTACAACAGCAGAATTTCAAATTACAAAGTATAAAACTACTGGCATATACACATACAACTTTTGATCAACTCCACTGCCAGCAGTCTGTCAGGACTGTTCAAATTAGGTATCCAGCTTGGAAGTACACGAAGTGTTTTGTTTCATTTGTATTTGGGTTGTGTTTTGAGTAAAAGGATTGTCATCAGAAAAGCCAAACTATAAAAAAACTTCAAAAACAATCTGTCAGATGAAAGCACAATGTGAGGGAGACAAGGCAACATCCCCATCAGGTCAGCCGCGGGATGGCTGTTTACAGCCTTGGACATTTAACGTGCAAAGGTGCACTTTAAGCTTTTCCTCCTCTGCCTCAATGCACTGACACACACAAAGCTGTGTTCTTCACTCACCAGTCAAAGCAAACACCGTTATCTTTATTTCCTCCTGGGCAATGAAGTTGGTGAGTCACAGAGCTGCTGCAAGCCTGAGCAGTGCGGTCCCATGGCCCATCCAGAGACCCCACTCCATTTATTTCAAAACAGTTCCACACTCCAAAAGCGTTTTTCAAAGCACAGAAAACAACACTGGACTGTGACAGAACTAAATACCAACTTCTGACTTTACCCTAAAGAAATGTCCCCTCTAGAAACAGGAATGTGCCACGCCCGAGCTGTTCAATGCACCCGCACGCATCCAAACCGCCACCATCTCAACTGATTTATCTGCTTTACAACTTCACAGCCCCATTTCTAGGTGGCACAAGAGCAACTCAGGATCTGATCTGACACCCCAGGAAAGGAAATGGGTATCAGAGACCACTGAGAACCTCTTTTAAGCCAGGTGGAATTCTCCAAGTCAGACTCCCCATTCAAATCCAGCCTTTCAAATAGGGAATAATAAACAGGCAATCAAACCCCAGAGATGCACCACACATGGATGTTACCCCAGCAGAGGCCAGCCCTGCAGTGACACATTTACCATATCAGACCACAGGAAAGGCCACTTCCATCACACAGAAGTTGGCAGTCTGACCCAAAATGTTGGCTGCAGGCTCAAGTCATCATTTTTCTGATGAATCAGCAAAAAAAGCTTACTCAGCTCTTTGCTAAATTCACAAACACTTGAAATAATGGGAAGAACTCATAAATGTTTCAATTATTTTCTTCAAATTTCCCTTTCACTGAGTCTCTGAACAATGACCTAACCTTCAACAGAAGTTGTGGAGTGCTGCATGTAGAATGAGAAGTACCCAGAGGAGGCAGAGATTTCATCAAGGTTGGGGGACAATTCTGCTTTGCCAGAAGTTCCTCTGACCCTTTATTTTATATTTCTCTTTTAAACTCAGTTGTCTTGGCCAAACTGCACTTCTCTTCCTCTCCTGCAAGGATTCCATCTGGACACAAATGGAACATTGCTTATTTTAATTTTAGGCTTAGATGAGGAAGCTACTGGTAAAAGTTTGCTGTAGGTCACACTGTGAAAGCCAACTCTGGTCCCAAAAGGGATATTGAGGCTTCTGCTGCTGCTTCTGGGGAGAGGAAGCATAGAAATAAGGGGGGGGAGGGAAGCAAAAAAAAAAAGTTCAACTTTTGGGTTTTTTTAGAATTAATTACAAGCTCTGTCTCAGACGGCCAAAGGTTTTAAAGCCAAAGCCTTACCTGACCTATTCCTCTTGTCCTTACTTCAAGAAACAACCATGGGGTGGATGGAAAGAAATGTAAAGTCTGGCTGACTGGTGCCTTCTGGGAAAGACCTGAGAAGCCTCATGCACTGTCCTGCCTGAGCCACAAACCAACAACCAAACCCATCACCCCAAAGCCAAGAACTGACCGCTACAGCTTGAGCTGGGAGTCTCAGAAAGGAGAGAGGGGCAAGAGTGCTCACAAAAATGTACAGACAGTTTTGCCTCTCAAGATATCCCCTACTCCACTGAGAGAGATAAAATGAAATTCGGAGAAAGTAAGGAACTAGAGGTTCAAGTTAACATGCACTGGCCCCAAGGAAAGGATGTTCACATGGCATCAACACATTAGCAGAGGGTACATTCATTTCTCTGTGCCTTTGGGCCCTCCTTGTATACAGACAAACCCTCACAAAAAGGAATGCCCATGAGGAATTGTATATTTACTGGAGGGTTTGGGTAACACACTGTCAAGCAGAGCTCAAGTCATGCACTAGATGTTTATCAGCTCCAAGATACACAATTTACATATTTCAATTATTTTAAAATAAACATTTAAACCTCAATTTGTCTCCCCAAACCTCAGCTCCCTCTCAGAATGTACTCCTTTCCCACATCCACAAAGAAGGTATTAGCTTCTCTATTACTGTACATTTTCACTAATTCTGTGCTTGATTTCAAAGCCTCCCAGTAAACTAATGGGAGCAATAGAACAGGAGGAAGCCAAGCAGGTATTTAGGATTAAAAGAAAAGAACAGGACAAAAAAAGAGAGAAAGAACCCCAGCCAACCACCAGAGAGCCATCAGGTATCCCCAGAATCCATCTCCCAGAATCCATCTCCCAGTCGGAGCACGCCCCGGGCAGGCACCATGCAAAGCCCGTGGCTCCGGTTCGGAGCCCTCCCATGCATGGAGCAGCAGTCTCGGGGCAGGATGCGTCACAGGAAAGGTCGCAGCCAGCCCTGGGAACAGTTTAGGAAAAGCAAACTCCAGCCCTGCCGCTCAGACGGCTCACTGCTGTGCCAGCTGCACTTGTGTCTCTGCTGGAAGCTGCTCAGCAACGATCTCCCGGAATAGCCCCGGGCAGCTGCAGCTCCAGCTGGGCACGGCACGGCCCCCCAGCCCTTCCCCGTTCTGCTCTGAAACCCCCCAGGAGCGGGGAGCGCGGATCTGCCCGAAATCCCCCCGGATCTGCTCTGAAATCCCCCCGGATCTGCTCTGAAACCCCCCAGGAGCGGGGAGCGCGGATCTGCTCTGAAATCCCCCGGAGCGGGGAGCGCGGATCTGCTCTGAAACCCCCCAGGAGCGGGGAGCGCGGATCTGCTCTGAAACCCCCCAGGAGCGGGGAGCGCGGATCTGCTCTGAAACCCCCCAGGAGCGGGGAGCGCGGATCTGCCCGAAATCCCCCTGGAGAGGGGAGCGCGGATCTGCTCCGAAATCCCCGCGGATCTGCTCCGAAATCCCCGCGGATCTGCTCCGAAATCCCCGCGGATCTGCCCTGAAATCCCCCCGGATCTGCTCTGAAATCCCCCCGGAGCAGGGAGCGCGGATCCCGGCACAGCCTCTGCGGGAGCGCGGACGGGGCGCGGGGGCCGGGACAGGACAGGACAGGACAGGACAGGACAGGACCAGGACCAACTAACATTTCCAGGCTGCAGTCCCCTGGCCGTTTTCCGTGCCAGGGCAGCAGGGAAGGGCTCGCTCTGTCCCCCTGTGTCACAGCTGAAGAGGAGCCACGCGTGCCATCCCTCCCTTCTGTCCAGGTGAGACGCCGCCTTCCATCACCTGTTTCTGCCCCCCTGCCAACGTTCTCAAATGCCCTCGGTTATTTTTAATTAACTGCCACTGCGATTTCATTTTTTAAATTGGCAAATAAGGTGAACATCCACGCGTTCTGCAAACCACTAACAATTTAGAGCACGAAGGAGCAGTTGTAACTCACTACAGAAACTACTCCACACTGCGGGGCTGAGCCAGCACAGGTGGAGGACACACAGGCAAGGATTCCTCTTCTCTGTCTTTAGAAAAATATCTTTTCTTAGCAACTACTCTTGTTTTAATTTATGACTGAGGAACTGTAACTATATAAAACTTATAGTTTAAAACATCAGAAGTAGAATTTAGAGTAAAATATTTAAATGACAAATTATTAGAATATTAAAGGGAACAATTTTTCTTTGAAACACATTTTGCTAATTTAAAAAAAAAAAACAGTTTTAGGACAACAAAACTACTGATTATTAAAATGTTTTCTTGACCTAGTGCCCTGATTTTAGCTAGGGCAGAGTTAATTTTCTTCCCTGTAGCTGGTACCCAGCTGTGTTTGGGTTTGGAATGAGAACAACCCTGATGGTTTAACTGTAGCTGAGCAGTGCTTGCACCAAGTCAAGGACTCTCCTGCTTTCTTGTGCCCTGCCAGCGCAGAGGGGCATAAGGAGCTGGGTGGGCACTGCCAGGACAGCTGACTCACCATTGTTTTTCTTGGGGTTTATTTATCTCTCTTGGTTAGTCTCCTTTTCATTACAATATTTTTGTCATTATAGTTCAGTTCTTAAACTGTTCTTATCTGATCCTAACATTTCCTCTCACATCTACCACTCTGACACGGTAATTAGGAGATAGGAAGGATCTCAGTGGGGAAATTTTGAGGCTTAATTCAAAATAAATTAATATTTAAACTAGATCTGAAAATGATACTACATGCAAAGAGCTCAAAGCATTGTCCAGGTTTCCATGTGAGTATCAGGGTTTGCACAGACACTTCACAGGCTCCAACCTTTTAATGCTAAAAGCTTATGGGCCCAGAATAATGCAGACCCTCGTCTAAAAATCAGAAACAAAAAGAAAATGAAAAGTTTAGCTTATCAGAAAAACGAAGCTGTTGAATTTCAGATTTCAAGAGAGCATAGGGACTGCTAGACAGTAAGAAGAAATGAAACAATTACTGGTGGGTTCTGCAAAACAGAAATACAATTCTGCCCTCGAGGTGTCCGGACGCTGTGGCCAAAGGAGCCCACGCTGCCCTCGAGAGCTGCAGCTTTAACAGCAAATGCACAACCTCATCTGCACTGCTCTGTGCACCTGCTGGCCCTCCTGCCGTGTCCTGCAGAGCACATGCCAGGAGAACATCACCTGGGATCCAGCCAGTGCAATACCTGTGGCCACCGACTGCTGCCTCCTCGCTGCAGCATCCTGGAGTTTGACTGTTTGGATCCACAGTGATCTGGTAATGTGTACAGAGCCGTTCACACCTCTGCTCTTCCCCTTGCTAACTGCAGCTGCAGACAGGACACACCAACAGTATCCCCAGGCTCACAGGGACTGCTACTCATGGGGCCACAGCCACAGTGACATTCACTCCACTGTGACAAACAAGAACAACTACCACCCAACACACCATTTTCAGGCACTAAAATAGCCCACAGTGTATTTTGCATACCTTTATTCTCTTAAGTATTAAAGCCCAGACACTGCCCTATGACAAATGGCATAGTAAGAACAGTAAATAACAAAATGTTAGTCTCTTGGCAAACTTGCAACACATCAAATGTACCAGCATATCTCCACGGTCACCACAAGCACTGCCTTCCAGAGGAGATCAGCAATTCCAGCCAGGCACCTGGGGAGTGGGGACAGCACCCCACAGCTCCCAGCCTGTGCTCCTGAGCCTTGTCCCTTCTGACACCCCCACGGAGACAGACCCACAGCAGCTTTCTCACTGCATTGCACCAGCATGCCAGCACTGCATGTTTGCCCAGTCCCAACATTCCCACCACATCAGAGACAAAACCTTAAAACTAGGTTCTTCTTTTAGCACACTCAGCACAATTTGCAATAGCTGCGGTGTGTGTTGTTCTTCCTGCATCTCTAGCTTCCTCCTAACATCAGAGATACCATCAGGCATGATCATCTCCCCTGATTAGCTCCATTTCGCAGTTCAAAAAAGATTTCTGGTGACGGTGACCACTGTCACTGACCCAGTAATTGCATTGCTTATTTATTTATCAGGCAGCTGCATTTGTTTCCGTAAATAGCTCAAGTGTGCACTTGGTACTACAGAATTTTTGGTAAACATAGGGAAAATAAAAGAAAAACAGCTTGTAAAGATTATTCTTACATTCAGTAAATCAGCCACAAACTCTGAAAATTGCCAGCCAAGTAACACAATTCTCAGCCAAGTTCAAGAATTGCCTTAATGCTACTGGGGACAGTCAGGGGACAGAGCAAGAGTCTGACCTCAGAAGGGACTGAGCACTTCTAATGGTTTATGCTACTTCCCTTTTTGTGTGTTTTGCCAAGACAACACCATTCACAAGCTGAGAAAGTTCAAAGCTTTTCTGTATTTTACCAAATCAATCTAGTTCATCCAGTGGATCGAGTTTGCTGGGTTTGCACAACCAGCTGACATTATTTACACAAATCAATACACTTTATGCTGGCCCAGGCATTCTGGGCCAAGAACCGCTGCTTGAGTACAAAAGGCTGTTTGTGACACCCAAAAGCTGGCACTAACGTGCACCCCCTGCCTCACACCAGCAGCAGCTCCAGGAGCCACCCTGCAGGGGACAGGCCAGTGATGGGACAGTGCTCACTGCCCCTGCTGAACCTCTCAAGGCCTTCCAGAAAGAGCCAAGTGCGATGAGGTGGCAGAGAGCAGGTAACACTGATCATGAAGATGAACGTTGCAGTGCACAGCAGGGGCCTCCTGCCTTACCCATGCACTGACGGGCTTGGGTTGAATGTGACTGCTCCAGGGCTCTGCCCCTGACCAGTTCTGCAGTCCTGACAGGTCTGAAGCCTTGTCTGAGTACTGGTTCTGAGATGGTCCAAGCAGGTGTTGCCCTGCAGGAGCCCCTCAGCACCGCCGGGTCCCACTGCCCTGTGTCACGATAAAAGACCATCTTCCTGTCTCTCCCCCAGGAACCACAGCAAGAACAGAGGCCCCATGCCCAAGGATGGACAGTGCTCCAGACCCTTAGCAAAGCACCACAGCAGGCAGGGCAGACAAGGTAAGGACTTGCCAACGATCCAGAAAGATGTCCAGAGTCTGGCTTGGACTGTGGCTCCCTCTCAACAACAGACAATTGCTAAATGCACTGGTATCAAGTGGAAAATTTGTCTGGGGTGTTCTCCATGCTGCACAGACACTACAGACTTTACTAAGACTTAATATCTCTAATGACACAGTTCTGAAATAATCTTTTGTTCTGTGATGCCTCAGCACAAAACATACTTCATGAACTTCCTAAGCCATTTAACATCTGCTCCAAAATCCAAGCATAGGCAGACCCACCTGTGGGTTCCTCACTGTAGAAAACCCTACGGACCAGGAACAATTTCTAAACACACCACATGCAGAGAGAGGATCCTGCTGAGACAGCCTGGCAAGAGGAAATGAACAGGGACACAGCAGAAAGAATAGTTTGTAAACACAGTGTGTTACTATTTAAATAAAAATCGCCATTTGCTATCGGTGCCTTTTCAGGAGGTCCTAATTTCAGCAGTATCACCCCGAACTTTACCCATTTACCTCCCAACCCTAACACATCTATTCACATGGCACTTGTAACATCCTCTCTCCACGCCATATTTTTCCTTTAAAACCCCAACCAAACAAAACCAAATGCCTTGATGACTAGAACTGAAACAGAGACAGGATGGCCACTGCTCCAACGGGAGGACTCCCAGGCAGGGGCTGAGGGCCAGCTGTGGGTGTGCTCAGGGTAAAACACCTGCTCTGTCACTCCGCTCGTGCACGCAGGTTCCAGAGCACACAAAAGCTGATCAGCCTTTAGAGCATCCCTGAGAGGGACAGAAAACAATACACCAAAGGACACAGTTTGACTTATTTGAGAGAAAATGTTCATTTCTAGTTATTGCAAGGCTGCACTCAGGTTTCAACCTGCTCCACAGAGACATCACCTACTGACTTGGAATTGGGGATAACAGCAAAGTCTATGCTCTAAAAGATGTAGTTTTTCTCAGCTACAAGGCACGTATTTTCCAGTTACCCAGGGTTGCCCTTGCCAATGAGAGCAGCATTATATTTATATCTATGTATGTTCTGCCCTCCCCAGAGAGGACAATACACCCCTGCAGACATTCTGGCAAAGGAAAGCAGACAGCAGATGTGGTTTCTTCTTGGGGATCCTCTAAAATGTAGATGTGACTGACCTGAGCAGCCAGCTCTAGCTCCCATGTTACACTGACCCATGGCCACGCTCCAGTGTGCCGGGCTGCTGGAAGCTGAAAGCCAACTGCCAGCTGCACACACGGCTTCCTTGCCAGGGAATGTTGGGAAATGGGAGCACATACCGGGGATCTCCATCTTCACTAACATTAGAGGGGTTTCTACAGAACACTTTGATCAGGAGTATTTGTGTCTCCCACGCTTCCTGGTAAACCAGTGCTAAAAATACAAACTGGTCCTTAAATACATCCCATTAACCCTTTGTGTCACCAGACCCCTGTGTGCCAGTCCCAGCTCACAGCACGTGGACTCCTGCCCAGGAAAGGGGCAGCCCAGGGCTGGAAGGCAATGGGTTAAAGTCAGACAGAGAAGCAAATGTTCAAAGCAGCAGCATGCCCTTGAACATCACCAGACAGTGAAATGCCACCACTTGGAAAAATACTCTGCACCACTGCTGGGAATGCTGTGGTGTGGGAACGTGGTCATTTCTGAGAGGCAGGCCAAGTTTATTTGGAAGTAAGAGTAGAAAACTCACAGTAATTAACAGAAGGCCCAGCATCACTCTGCCCTACTGAGATCCTCTTTCTCTGCTTCTAGGAACGAAGGTGCTGTAGGATGTTCAACGCCAGCACAGACTCCTTGGGAAACAACTGCAGCCACCGCACAGCAGTAACTACCACAGTCATTCCACTGCTCTACTCCTTCATCTTCCTCACAGGGCTCTTGCTGAACGCCCTGGCAGCCTGGGTCTTCCTGTACGTTTCCAGCACAAAGAGTTTTATTGTCTATCTCAAAAACATCGCCGTGGCCGACCTCCTCATGAGCCTGACGTTCCCTTTCAAAATCCTTGCTGATTCAGAAATTGCACCTCCAGAGCTCAACCTGTTTGTGTGCAGATACTCTGCAGTTGTGTTCTACATGAACATGTACATCGGGATCACCTTTTTCGGCCTCATAGGGTTTGACAGATACTACAAAATTGTCAAACCTTTGTTCACCTCCTTTGTTCACACAGTGAACTACAGCAAGGCGGTCTCTATAATCATATGGCTGTTGCTAATGCTTATATCATTTCCAAATATGATTTTAACTAATGAAATCACTAAAGACGATTATTCCAGAAAATGTATAGGTCTTAAAAGTGAGCTTGGCAGACAGTGGCACACAGCAACAACTTACATTTGCACAGGGATTTTCTGGGTTGTTTTTGTTCTGCTAATCATATTTTACACTGCTATATCCAAAAAAATATACAGCTCTTACAAAAAATTCCGCAGGAGCTCAGACGTGGCCAAGAGAAAAACCAGCCGGAATATATTCAGCATCATGTTTGTGTTTGTCATTTGCTTTGTGCCCTATCACCTTTGCAGGACCCCATACACCCTGAGCCAGACCAGCTCCCAATTCACCTGCCAGTCCCAAAAATCACTGTACTATGCCAAGGAGTTCACTCTGGTGCTGTCTGCTGCCAACGTCTGCCTTGACCCCATTATTTATTTCTTCCTCTGCCTCCCCTTTAGAGAAAAGCTGTATCAAAAACTGCATCTCAAGCTGAAAGCTTCAAGTGAGGTTGAAATTTCTAAATCCAGAAGATCAAATACACTTCGGGAAAGTACAAACATCTTGTAGTTTCAGGTCTGCACAATTGTGCACGTTTCAGGAAGTCATTCATGAATGCAAATGTCCCAAAGAACCTTAGCAGATGAGAACCAGCAACAAACAAAACACCAAGCGCTGTTTCTCTGTATATAACCATTACTGCATGTGCCAATACATTCACTATGTGCTGTGATTGCATCAGGATGTGACACAACCCACCTGGATCTTAAAAACAGAGAGAGGAGTACCTGGAATGGCATGTTCTGGGGCTCCAGGCCATGGGTCTCTGAAAGGACCATCCAAAAGACCCAAAACCAAACCGATTTTCTGCTGTTTCTCACAAAGCCAGGCACGACACACGACGGCCACCAAAGCAGCCTGACAGCCCTGGGAACACCCAACAGCTCCACCTCGACCAGGGCAGAGCCCTGGGGAGCAACACGAGATGGTCAGGACGAGTCTCTCAGAATTGGCCTCCACCAGCCCACCCAAGGGCACTGAGATGTGCAGGGAATCTCACTCGTCTATCTACAGGGTCACAGAGCAAAGGGTTGGTGGCAATGCACAGCTGAAGAAAGGACTCTATGCCAACAACTGGGAGGAAGGGGGGGAAGACTTCATTAAACAGACTCTGGAGGCTCTGCCCTCTAAGCAAGGGAGCCAACCTGCTGGGGAAGGGAATCTGGTGCTTTGTGGAAGATCTTTTGTCATTTATGGCAAAAACATTCAGTTCCCTACATGGCAGGGCTTGGTATTTGCCTACGTAAATCTACATAATTGTGGCTGAGAGAGATCACTGGCACAGGCAGATGAAAACACTTCCCCAATATATATTTGAGTAACTTTTTAATTGCTGTGCAAGCTTTGAAAACATTATTTATATTGCTTCCTCACCCCAGCAGATTACTGATATTAGAACAACAAGAATCTACATGCAGGCACCGGGGAAAGGTTGGTGATCAACACCCTTGTTCAAATGGATTCTACATAGAATTCACTTTGAAAAAAATCCTCCTCCAAGAGCTTCACTAGTCAAGAAACGCTCCTGTGCCCCTGCTCCTGCTCCAAACCCACCCTGTGAGTGACAAGTCCCAAATAACACCAGTGTCAAACCAAGCCCCTGCTCCATCTCCCCAGCTTTGCTCCTCACTTTGCTGGATGAACTGAAGCCAATATTTTTTCAGCACTGGGTAAATTAATCCTTTCACATCTTTCCCAGCACATCATGCCTCAGATACCCCAAGCCAGCTCTTCACAAGGAACTCACATTCACATGTCTGTCCTCCTAAAACACCTCTGCAGAAAGGGCAGACTGTTTCACAGTAAAGGTTTACCCAACTGTCCCATACTTTGTCTTTTTAGACCTGAAAGTTTCCTGAGTTGTAAACTGACTACAGAAAAGAGGACAACAGACAAAGACACAGAGACAGAAACAACTGACAGTGCTGCAGTTTGGGTTTAAAAAAAAAAACAACCCTACAAGTATGGCAAGATCAGCTTTGCATAAGCAGAACACCATCAAATGAGTCCATGTTTGCTCACAACTGGACATGGGATCATTCCGGATCACGACACTTTGCAAACATTTTGACAAATATGGTCTGAACTTTCAGCTTATGACTAAATGTAACACCAGACATTCTTCATCTGTTCCTTCCCAAAGCTCTGATAGAGGGTTTGTAAATTCCTGTGGATTCTCAACTATAACCAAGTGTCACCAGGCAGTTTCAGTATCGCTGTCAGTACCTCACCCTGCATGGTGTCAGACCTCTTCTCACGGCATACCAAAACCAAAATAAAAAAATTGCTCCTACTTCCCTAATGCGTCATTTTTTTTATTTTTAATGGTGCTTGGCAAACGTCCAAAGGTTTAGAATATTAACTGAGATCAGCAGAATCCCTACATGCCTTCAAATCTACACATAAGAGTGGAACTCTAAAGCAAACACTCGTGAGATTCCCCAAACCTGGAATTTCATGCAGGTATATTACAATAAGTGAGGACTAACTACATTGCAAAATCCTGATCCCAGACAGACTTTAAATGTAAAATATATGGGGTTTAGGGGGCAGGGTGCAACAGAGTTTCAGATTTATAAAAACAAAAGCAAAGAAAGAGCCGCTGATGTCCCAGGTCAGGGATCTGGGACTGACCAGATGAACTTTTGGGAACCACACCAGAAAGTCCACACAGCGGGGTTGACCTAACCACACGTCTCATGACCCTGTGAAGGCACGACAAACACTGAAACCTTGAGGCCTGAAAGCAGCAGGACACACTGCACAGGGCAGTGCCCATCAGCCCTCAGGGGTCAGTCAGGTCACAGCTCCAGTCTCCATCCCGATCAGCTCCCTGACACAGACAGCTCAAGCACCTCTGACCATCTGCCCTCCACAAAAGCTTCATGAGAATCAAAAATCTGTGAGACTGGCCACACCAACACGCCCGAGCTGGCTGTTCACAGCCCGTTCCCCCCCAGCAGTCCCCGTTTGAGGCAGGGTGGGCACAGGGGCACAGCCCTCGCCTGTCTCTCTCTCCCCCAGGAACAGGAAAGAGAGGGCTCTGGGCTGTTCCGTGAGCACTTACGTCTTTCTGTCCCACTCTTTCGGGTAACTTCCACGTGATTTAGCTGCTTGAACTCTGGGCTGAACTGCGTCAGTTGGCTCATTTAAAAACCACAGCCACGTTTTCAGAGCCCCACAGAGGCAGCCAGAGGAGAAGGTCACGCCATCGGGCTGGGAGAGCAGTGGCTGAGACACACCAGACCTTCGCAGACAGATGCTCAGAAGAGCCCAGGCCAAGGGGACAGGTAGGTGGTTTCAGCCTCTCTTTCAGCCTATTTAGATGCCCATGAATGCACAGTCTGAAACCCAGCTGTGCCAAATGGGGGGCCGGGCTCAGCTGTTCACCAAACCAGCCTCGCTGTGTCAGTGCCAGTGTCACCCAGCCAGGGCCACGCTGTCCCCTCGGGGGCTCCATCCAGCAGCCCCCAGGGCTCGCTTTGGGGTGCTCCTCGGGCTGCACTGCCCGGTGGGGCAGGAAACTCCAGCACCAGGGGAGCAGCGAGCCCAGCACTGCCTGCCCTCACCCTCACCACACACCCCCACACTCCATCCCACCCAGATACCTGTTCTCAGGACAACAGAGGCCCGCAGAAAGCCAACTGCAAGGAGTAAGCTGCTTCCTCCCCCTTTTAAACTGCTGGAGTATCTGCAATCATTTTGCTTTACAAGTTATGCACGTCTGGATACAGATTTTACAGCAGAAATTATACAGTTACGGTAGTTCTCTTATATTGTATATTAAAATTAGAACAAAATATAAAGAAATAGAACTATTGCATTCTAATGCTACTCAAGATGTAAATGGATTGGTTTTCATTCCAAGAAACTCTAAGGAACAGCCTTTCCCACAGCCATTCTATGCAGCAGCCTACAGTGTAGCAAACAAACAAGCCCCTCAGTTATGGAGTCATATATTCAGTTGAAACAGGATCAACATTTTTGGCTGTTCTTCCCTTTAACTTCTAGTGAACCCTACAAAGGAAGTGAGCAACATTACTTATTATCTGCTTCTTTCAAAATATGCTTTTCCTAAAAGTTTCATAAAAACATACAATTAATTTGTTCAAGTGGGAAGAGAGAGCAGTGTGCAAACCTCAGGACTGATCAGAACCATTTGCTCACCCATCAGACATATCCACATATTGGCTTGGCAGTGCCTTCACTCAGAACTCCCAACACATTTTTATAGAACAAGACAGGTACAAAGATTACTTTAGGCATACTTTCAATCCTTAAAAAAGTTATTAAGCTTTAGCATTATTAACTAGATGCTTAAATAGATTCAAACCTTTTTCTCTGGCACCTTGACTGAGAGCAGGTGTTAACCAAACCCTTCCAGAAAGGCTGCTCTAGTGGAAAAGCTCTATGGTTTCAGCAACAAATCTTAATCTATTCCTAACTCTTCCAACGTGAGAACAAAGCCCTCCTGAGTATCTGGCAAGCAGCATGAAGAGCGAGAAAAATATTTCTTCCTAATTGCATTTTTTCCTTGAACAGAACAAAATTCTAAGAGAATAACTATTGTCTCTTGGGAAAGGTAGATGTCATTGACATCCTCTCGGGTCTTTTTGTAGGTCCTTGATACCTCAAGTCAGCAAAGCCAACTCATACAAGGAGTTTACAATGTCAAGCAATGTTTCAGAATGCCATATCTATGAAGAAATGGAACCTTTTACCTATTTTTACTTCTTGATTTTTCTCATGGGAATTATTGGAAGCTTCTTTGCACTGTGGGCATTCACACAGAAACATCAGAAACACAAGCCTATGAGCATCTACTTAATAAACCTCCTCACTGCAGATTTCTTGTTGACTTTGACACTGCCAATGAAGATTATTGTTGACCTAGGAATCGCGTCCTGGAACCTGAGAATATTCCACTGCCAAGTTACAGCCTGTTTCATCTACCTGAACATGTACTTATCAATCATATTTTTGGGATTTGTGAGCATGGATCGCTGCCTCCAGCTGATGCACAGCTCTAAGATCTACCGCATCCAGGAGCCAGGGTTTGCCAAGACACTGTCTGCAGTTGTGTGGATCATGATCCTCCTCATCACCGTGCCTAACATGGCCATTCCCCTCGAGCACACCGAAGAGAGACCCGGCGCGGGCTGCATCGACATCAAATCAAAGTTTGGGAGGGACTGGCACGTGTTCACCAATTTCATCTGCACAGCCATATTCCTGAACTTCTCAGCTGTGATCCTCATTTCCAATTTCCTCGTCGTCAGACAGCTCTACCGCCACAAGTACAGCGAGAGCTACGGCAGCGTGAGGAAGGCGCTGACCCACATCCTGCTGGTGACGGCCGGCTACCTGCTCTGCTTCGTGCCCTACCACGCCGTGCGCATCCCCTACACGCTGAGCCAGAGAGACACCACGGCCAGCTGCCCCCTCAGACGGGCCCTCTTCAAAGCCAAGGAGTCCACCCTGCTGTTTGCAGTCTCCAACCTCTGCTTTGACCCCATTCTCTATTACCACCTTTCCAAATCGTTCCGGTTGAAATTCACGGAGGCATTTGCAGCACCCAAGGAAACAAAGGCTCTCACGGAGGTGGAGGTGCAGCACAGCCCTGAACAGCAGATACACGGCCCTGACCCTCAGACACAGGGACACAGTGAGCTCACCTGCAGCACTGAACAGCAGATACACAGCCCTGACTCTCAGACACAGGGACAGAGTGACCCCACCTGCAGCACTGACAGCTGCTGAGCGACTGTGCATGCAGACAGCACTCCTGACCATCCATGAGCCCAAGCAGAAGGAAAATACTTGATCAATAAATCCCCTTCGCTGTGTTACACACTCACACAGTGGGTCTGAGCTCACAGAGCCTTCAGTGATGCTTCCACAAACAGGTCAGTGAACAGTGGTGACCCATCAGGGATCAGCAACACCTAAGAATACATGTTCAGATTCAAACATACTTCAGAGTTACTTATGGCAACCTGAACTCACCTTCTAAGGTAAATATTGTGGATTTACAATATTAAATGGCTTGGTGCAATCAAGTGAAGAAATTATTGAACAGAAGTTCTTCAGCTGCAAAGCTCTTTCACGCACATGATTAACCCAAAAGCATTTCAGAGGGCATTATTTACTCCAGAAAGGGATTTTAAACTGCACCGATTAAAAATTATTGTTCCTGCCTATATCATACCTTCAGTTTTTATAAATAAATTTCTTGTTCTTGCCTCTCCTTGCTGCTGCTTCAATGAATATGAAAAAACTTAATATGTTATTACAGAAAATTCAAGTAAGTTTTAAAACAAAGATAGATTATAAGTATACAGCTTGTTCTCTTCTGCATGAGGGCTGGGATCTAGAGTGTTACTCATGGGGCTTCCTCCAGTTCTCATGAGCCTACAGACAGGCACAGCAGCAGCAACCAAAAATCCACACTGTGAGCAGCAGCAAGTGGGCAGGAAGAAGAGACACCATCCTGTCACACAGTTCAGAGCTATTTCTTTCAGGTATTTCGGTGTTCATCCACCTGCCCATCTCCAGAATAAGATGTTCTATTTAGCGAGCTTTTGTCAGCCCCCGGGTCATGGTGGGTTACTGTGGTGCCTGTCCCTGAGCCCCAGTGACCACCACACTTCTCTCCCTGGAAAGGCTCTGCTGTCCCACCAGGCAGCACCACAACACACCTGAGCACAGGTCACCCACTGCGGCATGGGAAAGGTTGGCACAGGTCACCCACTGGGGCATGGGAAAGGTTGGCACAGGTCACTCACCAGGGGGAAGGTGTGGCACTGGTCACTCACCAGGGGGAAGGTGTGGCACTGGTCACTCACCAGGGGGAAGGTGTGGCACTGGTCACTCACCAGGGGGATGGGGAAGTGTGTGGCGTACTGCAGGTGGCGGAGGAGGTCATAACTGGATGGCACAATCAGTTCTCTCAGCCTCTCCCTCTTGGCTGACTTCTCGCTGGGGACTGAGATCCTTTGGCCGAAGGAAGGGGTCACACTCTCACAAGACTCCCCAGGTACCGGAGAAAAGATCTGAGACATGTAAAGCAAAGGTTTAAGGTAAGTGTAACCTCCAGCTTCTGAAATCCAGCAGCTGCAGACAAAGACAGGATTTGCTCTTGCTTGCAGCTACTTGCTAAATATCTGAGGTTTTTCAAAGACAGACAAAGGAAGGCAATGCAATCAAGCCTGAGATTTAAGATAAATGTACATATTATATCCCTGTGCACATCCCCGTGGTTATTAGACAAGTTTTAACCTAGAGATACTCAGTCAGGGAAAAAGCATTCTGATTTGGAGCAATCTGCACACTCCTCATGTTGCTGTGACACAGAAACCACGATGAGCTGTCAGCGACTGAGGGAAAATAATGGGACGGGGGAAGTGGGAGGTGACAAGAGACACTGTAAGCAGGCATGGACGTGCTTGAAACCACCAACGTGACAACATCAGGCAGAAATGGGGTCCCAATATCCTGCAAGTGATAGGTCTAGGTGGTCCATGCAAAACAAGGGGAAATCCAAAGGAAGAAACAGGAGATTTGTGAGTCACACAGAACAGACAGGAAAATGAGGGGGAAACAGATTTGAAAACGGTGCCAAAACATAGAACCATCCCTTGAGAAGCAGGTAGCATCAGTGGGGGTCCTCGATGTCACACAAGCGGGGAGCTCTGCACATTTATTCATCCTCACGTTAGCACACAGTGCTCAGCACACTGGGGATGGGGCAGGGAGGAGAGCGGTCTGTGTGTGCAGGAGGACAGGCAGGGCAGCACAGAGGAGCAGCACGCTGTCACAGCAGAGTGCAGGAACAGAGGCACTCACTGACAGACACAGCAGACACTGGATGTCAAATGCCATCCATCAGTTGTCGAGGGAGGGAGCAGGGTGGTGCTGGGGCATGGAGGATGTTCAGTGGCAACAGCAGCAGGCACGGGCAGCAAAGGCATCACAGGCATGCAGAAAATCAAAGACAAACCTACTGGGAATTCTGAACCAAAATCTGCCTTAAAGTCACTCTTGTCTACATCATCAAAAATACCAGCGGTTCCTGAGTCAATGCCCATATGCTCCACAATACCACGATCCTAATAATTGCCAGGGAGAAAAACAAGTATAAGTCCCAGCAAACTCAAGCACTGTGCCTCTTTAAGAACTGTGTCTTTCAGTTTGTCCCAAGTTATTCAGATCACCAGACAGCTGCCAGTTCAGTACATCTGCACCAAATCAGCAATATTTCCAGTTACACACAGCAGTGAAGTTAATGGATCCTTTTCAGCTTTCTCAAAGAAGAAGAGACAAGCAGACACAGAGTGAGACCCCCAGTATCTCATATCTGAAATAGTAATGCTCACTGAAAAGCCACATTTAATGAAACGGAATAACAAACACGGGAAGAGCACAAAGCATTACCTCCAGTTTCACGTCATGATCCTTTGAATAGTGTTCATCTACAGCTTCCCCATTAGGGGAGCGTGGTCTGGGAGCTGCAGTGATGGACAAGTCCCCACGAGATATTAAAGTGCACATATAGGCATCGTGGGAGAAAACATCATGCCGAGTGAATTCCGAAAAAAGCAGCACCAAATTCACAAACTCTGTCTTCTCATGGTCACTGCTCGGGTCAGCTACACAAAAAAGAAAATAACCCAGAAGTTAAACTGTAGTTTCAGCTCATAAATACTTGGGTTTGAACTATCCAAATCATAAATGCCAGCACCTTAATTTTCAAGGGCTACTGAAAATGTCTTGGGCATTTGCACAGAACAAACCATTTCCCATCAAACCTGCACGGTCCTGCTTCGCTCTCAGCTCCAGACACAGGACAGACCTCAGTGGGTTCCAGAGCCTCCCACCTGTACAAACTTGTCCCTGCTGGGAACGGGGGCTCAGCTGCCAAGCACAATGTTCAAAATGTATCAAAAATCAAACCAAGGGAGAAAGAGGGCCAAGGGCATTCCTTGTGCGAAGAAAAATCAATCTGAAGCTCTGGATTATACCATGCCACCCAACAGCTGGCCTTTCCTCCTAAATTACTGTCTTACCTACAGCACTTTTGCATTTATAACAGAAAATCCTATAAAATATGTGCAGAGAACTCAGGATCTGCATGCCAGGCCTCCAAGAGATAAAGGCAATATTTTCATTAAAGCTTGACAGTGTAGTGCAGTTTATCTATTAGAGATGCTCATGCACATCAGGAAAACAATAATTCAACTAAATGCATGTTATTTTGCCAGGACCAAGCAAAGCCTGGAGAAACACAACATATAAAATGTTGTTACTAAGTTTTCATTTGTCACTGCTCTATTTAATTTTTTTTGACTTGTTCTTTACCACAGAAAGGTTTGCAACAGTGCAGTTAACAGAAAATAGCTTTATGCCATGCCAAATCTACTGGGCAACAAAAGAACTACCAAACCTGAATTATCACCATTTATTTAAAAGCAAATTATGCTTTAGAATTCAGATGAGCCCAGCATGTGACACTGTGTTTAGCTGTCCTCACTGGGCTGCAGCACAGCAGCTGTCAGTCTGCCCAGCAGCAGTGGGAGCCATCCCTGCAGCCCCAGGTCCTGCTCCCCCCAGCACCCCTCAGGAACGAGGCACGAGGCTGGGGGAGCATCCCAAAACACACACCTGAGCCCAGGTGAGCTGCCCTCCCTCAAAACACAGCCAGTATCTGCTTGTCATTCGGGAGCTCAACCACTGTAAAACCAACACACCACCACAAAACCCGTCCAGGGCTCCAAAACACCAAAGGACATTTCAAACATGGGAAACATCCCCAGCTCCTTCCCCCTGCCTTTCAGAGCTCCCCGGGCCCAGGAGAACAACACCATATCTGAAGGAAGCCCAGCAGAAACACAAGGCTTAATAAACAAATAGTTTGGATGGTTTATTAAAACCAGGGTCACCACTGGCACGAAAGCAGAGCACTGCCAATATCTCTGAGTCTGAAACTCATTTTAAGGAATTTCTCCTTTTTCGGACATTGAGAGTTTTCAGCACTGTGTTTCAAATCTCCTAAAATCTGTTTTACTTTAAGGGCATCAGGAAAAAAAGATGCCCTAACCAGCAGTACTGGAGGTGCCAGAAACACAAGCTATGCTATCAGTTTTATCAGACCAAGATATGCCATGGAGCAGCCCCCGATGAACAAAGATCCTTTATTCAATCCACTATCTGTCAGCCAACAGCCTTCAGCTGTAACACTTGAGTGGCATTTCTAAGTCAGTCACTTAGAACATGGAAGTGTCAGAAACAGACAAGTGTTTGGTGTTAAATATGCACAGAGTACAAGTAATTCCCCAAATCTCAAACAGCTTAAACAGAAATAAATACAGTTTCTGCAAATTTCCCTTTTGTGTGGAGAAAAAAAAAAATCAAAAATTATAGAAGGATCCTATAACAAGGATCAAGGAGATTTAAAAGAAACAAGATAGGAGATTTAAAAAGAAATGTGCACATGAGCTGATAATCACAGGAACTGAAACACCCCCTACAGCAAACCAGCAACTTCAGCAGCTAGGCAGAAGAACAGCTGTTTCTGACCTAGTTTGGAATATAAATTAGTTCATACTCACATAACGAGGGAGCTTGTGTATCCAAAAACCTTAGCAGGACATTCTGGAAAACAGGAAGACTGGAACCTGTCAAGGAGGCTGAAGACAGAGATTCCTTTTCATCTAGGACTTCAGATTCACCACATCTCTGCACGGTCAAATAAATAAAAAAGCATGTCTCTACAGCCAAATGCACAAAATATTCCCACCATTTCCACCTGAGGCCGACACACGTGCACCTGTTTCCTTCCCCTGCACAAAACCCACACTTGCTCTAAAATGACAGGCTTCTCCCATTACCTAGTCTGGTTATTTCTAAGGTGTTTTATTTAATCACTTTGTATTTACTGAGTGGAAAGGAATGCCCGAGGCTTGTTCCATCAGCTGCAATGACAGTTTCACAGAAAACCAAAAATTCAAGATACAGAACTTCCAGGACCTCTGTGAATGAAAAAGGAAACTTCTCCCCTGTAAATTACAAACTGAAGAATGAGCGGGGCAAACCCCTCTGCTTGGGGTGGATTTGGGTGCAGCGAGGCAGGAACAGTGCAGTGACTCCCTTCCCCCAGTCTCTGGTTTGTGGTGAGAGCAGACAAAGCAAAGAGACTTTAGAAAGCAAAAGTCTCCCTGCGCATGGCTGTGCGTGTACCCGTGAGCGGCCGAGAGCACTGTGCCCTGTTTGCCCCACACCCAGGCTGACAATCACACACCCACTTCCAGAACATCACACTGCCAGCAGAGCCCCGTGGGGCACAGAGCCGGCTGCCCCGCACTGAGGCGAGGCAGGGGCTCCCAGCAGTGCCAGGGATGCAGAGCTGCATGAGGCCACAGGGTCAGCCTCCCCTGCTCCAGCTGATGGAGACCCACAGCCCCTCGAGAAGGGGACTCCAGTTTCTGTGGCACCCCCTTTAGTCAGACAGCTGGTTCACAGAAGTGAAACTTCGGGGAGACATCAGTCAGCTACCACAGACCATTCTGAATCAGGCTGAAATTGCTCGCTTTAAATAGAAGGCTTTTTCATTCTAAATTTGTCTAGAATTTCAAAAATATGAATTGATGAAAAGATTGCCGGTGCTCCAAACTCACTCCTTTTGTAATGAGAAGAGATTAAAGTGAGGCTTCCTTAGGAATACCTTACTCTTTAAGCAAACTGTCACACCATGCTGCGAGTAGAAACAACTTACTTCTGCCTCGATTTCCGCTTGCCTCTTCTCCAGAAGCTTGGCCACAGCCATGGCCCTGTGCTTCCCAGACCTCTTGCAGCTCACAGCCCACTCACAGAGCAGCATCACCACGGCCTCGTCGTTTGGGGCAGCCTGTGCAGGGCAGAACAGACAGAAAGCAGCTCACCCACACAGCCCCCAGGCTGATCTCTGAGCAGACAGCCTGCAGCAGCCAGGGCTCTGCAGCACCAACACCCAAACCAGCCGCAGCTTGCTCTTTCGTGCTGAGATGGACACGCTGCCATTTGCACACATTTGCTTTATTCACAGTGTTTTCACATGAAATATAAGGAAATCCCAGTTCTCGCACTGCTGATACTCAAATCAAAGTTTCACTTCATCATCAAGTTGCTTCACAAAACCAGAGAAGGGAGATGTGCTGCATGTGCAAGAGGAACAGGAACAGTGCACCCACAGAGCCTCCCAGCCCACTAACCACAAGGGATTTACGTGCTCCTTATTCTGGTTCCTCCAGACCTCCTCCATCTGTTTCCAGACTGTGACTTGCATCCCACTGATACACTACAGTAAACAAAACAAAACATCCTCCCACATCTAGAGACGTTATCTGTCAGATAACCAAGGTCGAAAAGTTCCCAAAAAGCTCTGTTTCTTTCTGACATTTTTAAGAAACAGCATATGTCTTTTGAATCCCATCTGTATAGGACAATAGCATGTAGTGTGAGTGCTCATCCAATCTGTTCTCACTAACCACCCAGACTTTGGAAGTATTTTTGCCTTGTGGGCTCCTGAGCTGGCTCTGCTGAACTTGCTCGTCCATCCCAAGCTGGCCAGCATCTCTGAATACTTCAACATGACCAACCTGCAAACTAAAGAGATGGGATTTTTCTTCTTTTGCCAAGGTCAGTGGAAGTTACACAGAGCAGTGACCATCACAAGGGCTGGAGTCAAGTACAGCACCCTCAGAAAATGATCACTTTTCTCAAAGTGATTGGGAATTACAGACCCAGAGGTAAAGTTCCCACTTCAAAGCTGTCCCAGCTGCCCTTGTCAGGAAGCCAGAACACAGGGTGTGCTGAACAAGGCTGCTGTGCACACACGTCACAGAGGTTTCCTGTAAATACATTTCAATGGTGAGCAAGAAATTCTGCATGACTAGGGCAGGGGGAGCAGAGGGAGGAGGGAAATGCTTTTCTCTTACCCAAAAGAAGCAACACAGCAACGTCACCGCTGCTGTGGGGAGATGCATCAGTTACCACCAGAACTAGAGGTGGTACAGATTTCTGAAGGCAATCAGACCCAAAAGAGTCTGATCTCCACTGATGCAGACTTCTGTTGGGCAAGCTGGCATCACCAGCAGCTGAGATAAGTGAAGCTGAGGGGTCTGACCATCCAACACGTTATTTTGCTTTTGAACTAACAAAATGTGGACCCACACAGCTTCCTGTCCCCCTAACAGCTGCACGTCAGGGCCTCCTCCCTCCAACATCATGCTCACTCACACCCCCAGAACGCATCAAGCAGCCCCTCTCAGAATAACCAGGCTCTGCATTTGGCACGTATTAAGGTCACATTTCTACCCCAAAAATTTCAGGGGAAAGAAAACAAAATGATCAGTTCACACGTTACTTAACAAGTACATTTTGTAGGAAAGACAGTACCCAAGGTGCTGGAGCAGGTGTGGACAGGCTGGAACTGCAGCTCCCTGGGATGGCAGGAAACTCTTTCCTGTTGTGCAGCCCAGCGATTCAGATTTGGGTCCCTCACATAGTCACAAATGTTAAATCCAAGCTCTGGGACTCCAGGGCCTGTCAGAGCTTCTTTCCCACAGCAGGGTGGGGATTTTTGTTTGTTTCATTTCCAGCAAAGTGATCTCAGAAAGACAAATATCAACACTCTGCATTTGTCACAAGCCCCATTCGTGAGAACTGAGTTCAAAACAGGAGTTTTTCACTCTAAAATGAAAAGCATCTCTTGGCATCATAAGAATTCAGCTGAACTTCAAAGACAACATGAGAAGCAAGAATACAACTAAAAAGCCCTAAGCTTTAAAAGCAACCCAAGTGCAAGTATATCCATAGAGTTTCAGGATTTTACATAGTGATTTCAAGAAATTCAACACTATGCCTTAACAATCAAGCACTCACTCCTTTCCTCTGTTCACTACTGCACACTGGCTAAAAAATTCTGGTATTGAGTTGCATTTACCACATATGCCCCCAGCTGCTGAGGTGCATTGCAAGTTATACTTAAATTGTATTTTGTTACACAGGAGACTGACAAATTAAAAAGTCTCACCAACCACTCTAAACTAAAACAAATTAAGAGGTAAAAAAAAAAAAAAATAATCCTTTCTCAGTTCCCTTCCTTAGTGGTATCTGTGACAGACTATGACAGATAAGAAAATACAGGTAAGTCCTAAAGTTAGGTGAAAGCTGAATGGATTGAAGCCCCAGGAAGATAAGTGAAGTCACAGACATCACAAAGTCCCTATTGCATTCTCCAGCTCACCCTTCTGAAGACTCTGTTCCTGCCCAAATCAACTCCTGCCCTCAGAGGGGCTGCAGGGGAATCCCAGGAGTTCCAAGTCTGGATAAGTGCAATACAATTTTACTTCAACTTAAAACTGTATAGCAGCAATACAGACTGTTTACTGCATTTACACCTCCACAATAACCACCACAGTGATAATCATTCTGGAGCTGCACACAAGAGATGATCTGAGTCAAGGAAATGTCAGATGGAAAATACCTGTGGTCAGAAACAAGGGCAGTAGTTTTCTCTGCAATCCCATCTCAAATGAAAGTGAATTTACTGTTTTATGCCACGTCATAGATTTCTAAATTTTGAGTCCTCCTACTCAGGCAAATCTCCTGAGGAACCCACACAAGTCAGCAAAGAGAAGCAGAAATGAGAGGTCCTTTCATTGCTCTCTGCACATGGCCATGTTCACCAGCTCCTGCCCCTGCGGGGTCCAGGACAAACTGGCCTTGCAGCTACCCTGTCCACCCACCTACCCTCCCTCATTTCAGCCCCTTCCCCCAAGTCCTACTTTTACTCTGAGGCTTGGAAGCCGTGAGTCCTACACTGAAACAATTCTGAAGGAATCAGTACCGTGTATGCAAACAGCATCCAGAGGACACCTGTCTGTTTTCAGTCTCTGTCAGAACCCAAGCACTTTGTAGCAGAAGCCACCTTCTCTCCCTTCCAGCACGTGCCAGTGCCTCGGAGCACCAGCCTCATACACACTTGCCACTGGCATAATTTGCAGCCTTCAGGACAAGGTTTTGCAATCCAACAGGAAAAATGGACAGGAAACAGGTTCCAAACAAGTTACAGCTGGGCTCACAGCAAAACACGAGCAGCAGATAGCTGTCCTTCAAAGAGCATTTTGCTTTAAACAATTATGTCAGTAGGCAGACATCCTAGTGATGGACGTGCTATTTACAAAATCAAAATCCTTCCAGGCTTACACGATGTGCCAGCTTAAAACAGTGTACACAGCCCCATGACTTACGGCCTCTTCTGCCAAGGAAAAGCAGAAGTTGATTAACAGGGGAGGAAAAAGAGGCAAAAAAAGGCTGACAGCGTTGCACGGGTGACACCCCCGCAGTGCCGAGCCTGCAGCGCGGTGGGTGCGGGCGGCATCGACATCCAGCGGCCACGGAGCGGCTCGGCAGCCTCGGAGCTGCAGCCCTGCCTGGAGCTCACCACCTGCCCAGCAGGTAATACCTGAACCTGCACTGGTAACACCTACGACCGTGGCATGGAGCTGAAACTAGATGGTCTCTAAAGGTCCCTTCCAACCCAAATAATTCTATGATTTTGTGTGGCTTTGGAAGTTCAAATGTCAAAATGCACAGGAACCGTGCACCAGGCACTCAGCATCACTGTCAAAAGTTGTTGTTTCTTGGCTCAAGCTCAAAGCCTTGAAAATTCCAGAGGGGCTTAAGAAGCTGCACGTAATCTGAAAGTTTAATTTCTGACCAGCTCCAGACCCAGTAAGGTTAAGGTTGAAACTTTCAAAGCTAAGTTTTCTCTCAGAAAGAAGTCAGCAGCTTCTTTGCTTCTGCCCCCCCTCATATCTCTTGTGCCTACTGTGCAAAGTGTACAGAGTGTGCAAAGTGTGAGAGTGCAAACGCTGACCTCATACCCGACAGTGCTTTATCCCCACCTGGCCTTCTCCACCTCAGGGTAAAGTGGGATGTCATTAGAGGATGCCCTACAAATAAACTGGACAGATCTTTATAAAAATGTGTGGATATATATAAATATATATAAATATATATATATATAAAAATGGTACCCCAAACTGGGGAGCACAAAGAAAACTCTGGCAACTGCTTTACTGCCTCCTCCCTGCTCTGAGCTCCACAGACAGTTTGTTGGCAGGTTTGTCTCTCTGGAGATGCTTCCAGAGCTGTCGTTCCCCCAGCACTACATTCTGCTTGTTTAATGCAAAGCCATTGAAGTGCTGATTGACAGTTCTGATGCATCATGTCTGTGCAAAGAGGGTCCTGAATCGTGACCATCAATGGCTGAGCTCACAGCCACTAACAAAACACAGGTGGAGTCGCAAAACAAGCCCTCTGCATTCAACTTTTTAAAGTATTAACATAAGCAGCTATGACAGACCCACTTGTATTTTCCACTTTCAGATTTTACTCCAACAGTGCATTATTGAGGTTGGATATTTCTTCTTTTCCCAAAACACTTCCCAAGGAAATTCAGGAGTTTGATATTATACACAGACACAGTAACATAATCATCTGCACTGTGCACACACAAAAATTATTTAAAAATGCTAAAGATTTCTGATTAAGTTTTTTATGATCTCTGGAAATGGTTTTAGGAGCACAGGCACAAATATCAAAAACCCCAAGAATATGTAGTTTTAGAATACTTTTCTATATTAATAACCTTGTAAGTTAGTACTTGCTACAATTGGTGAAAAAGGTGTCATCAAACAATCTGGAATTTTACACCCAAAGAACCAAACCTTTCTAGATCATTTCTCCTGAATGAGGTTTGCAGTACACTGAAGAATACAATTACAACAGCAAAAAGCTGTTGTCTCCTAATAAACCATCAGCTGTAAAGAAAAAATATACCAAGAAAACCCAAAGCTTTTCTATCAAATACACACGCACAATTCACATAAGTAAAAATGTAATCCATTGTTTATAGATTCCAAATTGAGAGGAGATTGCAGCCATTACCTCTTGGTTATCCTTACTCTGATTTGCCCAGAAGATCTTATGATAAAGTGTCTCCATGGAATTGCTGGAGTCTGACCTGTCAAAGCAATGCCGGTCCAACACTTCCAGGGTGTGCAGAACCCGGCTGATGGTCCCGCCTGGAGACAGGAGCCAGAGAGGAGGGGGAGAACAAAAAGGTTCACATTAGCAGACACTGCATTACATTCACCTGCCAATCTACTGCTGGGATTAATTGTGGTGCAACAAGGAAGAACATATGTAAACCCTAAAGGTCCCAACATCTGTTTGGAGTTGTCTCACCTGCAGTTGACTCCTGGCACTTGTCAAATGACCAGCGCACCTCCACAGCACGGCCTCTTTGCTTTATCTGCTGTTCTACCTCACAAATCTTTGCCCGAACCTGCAAGAAATAAAGCTGCCAATTAGGGGGTGGTTCAAAGTGCCAGTTTTCATGTCATGCCTGGAACAGCCTTCTTGGCAGGAGCAAGGGACCTGGTGGTGCTCCACAACACTCCCTACATTTGGGAACAACAAACTGAAGAACATTCTGTTCAAATCATCTTGTCTGCTAAGAATCATCTTGTACGATAAAGCATCTTTTCTTTTCATTCCACCCAGCAAAACTTAACTTTCAACATGTCTGAAAAGTCACATCTCCCAAAACATACACCAAGCTTCCTCTTATTTTTCATATTACATCTTCAAATAATTTCAGTTTAATAAGAGAAAACACTGGAACATAAATAAAAGTCCTGATATTTTCCCAGAATGAAGATCAAACACCAGCACAGCGCTAGCCTTGACAACAGGCCTATGGAAATATCCAAACTTGGCTGCAGTCCTAATGATTACAAATTATTACTGGGATATAAACTAAACCTTTATAATCTGGCAACAAAAAGAGCTTACCTGCTGATTAAATGCCGAATTTCCACCTGGCATAGGTAAACTAGATGGAGCAACTTGAAGTAAATCCAGAGGTGAGCCTGGATTAATGTTCCTATTTTCATTTGTGGAATAATTCCACACCAAGGCACTTGGGCAACAAAGAGTTACAGTCTGCAAGCAATAGTACAAAACAGAAGTAATTCCATTTTCTAAACACATGTCATAGACAAAAACAACAATAAGAGTCCAGAATCCTTTTTGGTCCAGCTGCTACAGTGAAAGAAACAAGAGGACAGGCCCATGCACAACTGCTTTTGAAGAAGTTCAACTCCTGTTTGATTTTTCTCCTTTGTTATTAAAAAAATTACTTAAATATACACATGTTCAATTCCCATTTGTCTTGCTTTCAGAACACCATCAAAGAACATCCCCAAAGGTTCATTTCAGCCAGATCGCTGTGCAACCCCAGGGAGCAGACACTGAGCAGACAACAGCAGGAGGGCTTAGGGAATTTCACCAGGTCAGGGCTCAGCAAGGCAAACAACCACAGCTCATCAAACAAGTCCTTCTTCAGAAAGGAATTACTCTCTTGATATTTCTGCTATTGCCAAGCAACAAACACAGGCAGGCAGACTCTTCTGTTCTATGGTGTTAAAAACCGTGGAGGTTGGTGAGGCAGCGTGAACCACTCTTAACTCTGACCAAACCAACACGAGGTGGCCTGCGGTGGCACCAAGTGGCAGTGGCAGGCTGAAAGCAGCAAAGGAACCCTGCCAGGTCAGAGCTCTCAGGAATCAGTGCTGCCTCTGTCCTGCCACACTCAGCAGGCACAGGGGGCCTGGCAGAACCACACGGGTTCACAGGTGACAAGAACAGGATGAGATGCTCAGAGCAGGAACCCTCCATCCCAGAGGGAAAGCCTGGCATCCCTGGCAGTGGAGCAGCTCCTTCCCTCAGCAGAGGTGCTGAGACACATTCAGCCACCACAGGCTTCTCCGCGTGGTTCCTTCGTCACACCTCACCTAGTGCAGACACATCCCCACCCGCCCGCTGTCCCCACAGCCCTCAGTGGGCACGGGTACATTTCAAACCACAGCAAGCACACCTCGTCCCAACTCAAACCCCAGTGTTTTCCAGCAAACAGAACCATCATACCCCTGAAACCAGGGGCAGCAGAACACTGGCCTACCTGCAGCAGACAGCTGAGTCCATACACCAGGGCACGGTGCTGAGGGCAGGTGAGGAACTCGGAGCAGCTCAGCTGTGCCGGGCACACCCCGGGACCAGGGGCGCTCGGGCTGGGCACTGCCAGGGCAGGGTTGCTGGGTCCAAGGATCACATGAGGGGAGGGGGCAGCTACAGGGCTGGGCCCATCACTTAGCAACAAGGACAGGCGTCTGGCACAAAAATAAGCAAGGCGACGGGACAGGTAAGCTGACTGAACAAACTCTTCTGAATACTGAAATTTAAGAAAATGCACAGTTTATTACACTCCATAGATCCATTTTCCTTAACAATCTAACAGTGGACATGCACAAACTGGAAAGAAACACCTCCAACATTTAGGATGCCAGAAGTTATAAAACAGAAGAGCAGATCGTATTCAAATTTGTATTTCTGTCTCTTAAAAATTCCATCTGCACTCCAGGACCAGTCACAGTAAGAGAATCGTTCTGCTAAATCGAGTCAAGGATTATAAAGCATGAACATCTTAAAGGTGTTTATAAACACCTTTTTATATATATATATAAATAAAACCAAATATATATATATACCAAATATATATATATCTCGAAACAAATGCACCATTCAATATATTTTGTCAAATGTCCTAAGTAAAAATGTTTAAATAGATTTTACCACCACAAATATTAAAACCATTTAACATGTATGAATCAGGCTTACGTTGATTTTGGCTTTAAAACATGCATGTACCTGCAACATGAGCGGCAACAACAGCTTCAGAAGATCATCATCAGTGGGTCTGATTTTTTCTAAAATGTCCAGTATCCATGTCAAATACTCGTGTCTCTCGAGCATTCCCTCCTTCAAGAATTTCCAATAACACATGACATGTTAGCTGGGAGCACTCAGCATGCAGGTGTGTAACTGCAGGTTTATTTCACTCTGGTTTAGCCCTTGTTACCCCTGCCAGCACAGAGACACCAATCCCCTCAGCCCTGCTGCAGCCCCAGAGCAAATCATCACCACCGTGGCAGTGCCACAGGCAGGGCAGCAGCTGGTACAGCCCCCGTGCCCTGCACAGCTCCAGTTCAGCAGGCAGCTGACAGGTAACTCTGACAAGAAACTCCCTCCCAGCAACCCTCCTGCTGCTCCTGTGCTGGGACAGAAACAACCAGAGAGTTCTGCGGGGCTAGGACTGTGTGGAACCCACAGACAGACCACCACTCGTGCCACAGCAGCCTCAGCCTGATCCACAACCACCGGAAACACCCTCGGAAAGATGGGATAATACAGAATAGGGAATCGCTGCAATCAGGCACACTGAGCAAATCAGAGCTTTTCCAGCCAGCAGATCTATGAAAGGAATTAGCATTTACAATTTATGCAAGTCTTGTGACAAAAGCTACCAATGAGTCCTAAAACTGAACCTCCCAAGAATAGTAACCTAAAAAAAAAAAATAAAAAATCCATGCACTCCTAGCAGTATTACCTGAAACATATAAAATGACAGCTTTTCGTTGTATTCCCACTGCTTCAGGGCTTGTTCCATCTCTGGAGGCATCACAACAGAGCCGTTGCTGTGGCTCGAAGTCCCATGATAGAACTCAGCAACCTTTGCCAGCTGCTCTCGGAGGTATTTGGTTACAATTTGAGTCCATTCTACAAAATAAACTTGCGATTAGAAGACTCCAAGTGATAAAAGGTTTCTTTCACAATGAGAATCGAACCAAAGTTACACTGCCTGTCATCACAAATGTTCCCCCACGGGTGCATAATGCTGCACCTGTGGTGAATTAAAGGCTGGCTGCTGCTCTCAGAGCACAGGTGCTGTCAGGTGTGCCCACTGACACAGGTGGGCCTTTAGGGAACCACCTGTCTGCCTCATCAGATTTCAGCGTTCAGCCACCAAACAGCCTGGAAATAGATAAAATAAATATACTGCATTACTTCCTTCCATCTGGAACTTTATTGCCCTCCCTCTTCCCCTCCAAACAGAGCCAACATAAAACTCAATGGGATTTTGCACAAGCAGTGGAATATAAAGCTATTCCTTCTATAACCACTCCAACTGCTAACTCTTCCAGGTTTTCACTCTGATGGGGCTGCAGCAGCTCAGGAGCAGTTTCTGCAGCAGCACAGAGCGGGTCTGCACAGCACAGGGAGAAAGAAAAAGAGGACTCGTAACGAAGGAATTCTCTCAGCAGCAACTGGAACAACCCAGGATATCTGTGAATGTCTCAGAGACAAACCCCTGGCAGAGCTGTGTGTATCAGAGAGCAGAGCAGCCTCTTTTATGCCTGCATAACACAGTTGCTTTGACAACTGGAGCTGTTGACTGTCACTTACAGGAACCACCATGCTCAAACACAACTATTTTCACTGTTCATTGCTCACCTCAGACTCTGACTAGCACATTCCTTCTTTGTTCCTTTTGCAGTTGTAATTGGCAGCTCTGACAACATACAAAGACTATACATTGGAAGCTTTTCTACCCAAACCCACTGAAATTTCTGTATGAAGCTAGTGGGGTTCAGTGTTTTCACGAAGCAGTTTAACTACATTTCCATCAAACATTCACTTGCTTCTGGGAAAAAAAATTCAAATCCACTACTTCAAATGTATTTCATTTGAAACACAAAAAGCAATTACCAATGTCTCTGTGCCCCTGAGTTGGAAACAATGCATCTGCCTTTCAGGTACCAGAGTTACAGGTGTAAAAAACTGGGAACTGCCAAAGGCTGCTCAGTAACCCACAGCAAACTACTTCCCCCACAGTTCTCCACAGCCTTTGCAGAACAGGGAATTTGGACAGAGGAGCGATGGCTGTGCTGTGTTTCATCGCTGACACTGGTCACACTGTGGGGCTGGCAGGAGTGGCACAGGTTGTGCAAGGTAAATGTTGCCTGGGAAGGAACAGCAGAAACAGCCAACGCAGCTGTAGCTATGCTCCATGGCTCTCTGCACTCTGACACACCTTTCTAAGCAAAACTGATTTCAAAGCATTTTTATTCCAGCTCCCACCACAGATTCCTCTCTGGACACCCAGTGACACCAAAGCTACAAAGGAGGAGCAGGCCCCTTCAGCTGTTATCATGCATGGAGACATTAGAGAAGTTTATTTACCGATATTTGGGTCAGTGGCCTGGCGTTTCTTGATTTTAGCTTCAGAAACAGCAGCGTAGTAGGCACATGTCATTTTGATCAGCCATGCTGCTCGCAGCAGTGGCACAGAGTATTTTGCTAAGTAAGCAAAAACATCTTCTTTTTTACTGAGAATAGGAACCTGGAGGGAAAACAGGCAGCAAGTTACAGCACGCAGTCCAACAGCAGCTGGCACTGGCACATCAGCCCAGGCCCCCTCTGCTGAACCCTGCACAGCCTGGAGAACAGCAAACCTCATCAGGCCAGGAACCCACTGCACCAACAACACCCACTGTCCAGGCACATGGGAACTAAGGGATTGACTGTCCCACAGTCCCCCAGGCTTCCTCCTCCCCCTGCTCAGAGATGCCTACACAGCCTCAAACAAACCTCTTGACTGCCACTGACATCCAGAGTACAGCAACCATCCTGCAAGCTGATCCTCAGAACCTCTGGGGAACAGAGCTGTATCAAGGTTTTGTGTAAGGGTTCAATAAGATAAACTCTCCTGAGATGAAATACAGTTACTCAAAGGAAGTTTATGTCAGCTAGATCAGAAGTTCCCCCTTGCCCTGGTCCCCTCCTTGCAGAGAGGGGAAATGCTGCACAGCAGCAGCTGCCTCCAGCACCACTCATCCAGCACATTCCAAAACACTGCCCTATTCCTACAGCCCAATTCAGTACAATCCAATATCCAAGAAACACGGGAAGGAGTATTCTGATACCTTTTTTCCTAAGAGAGTCAGGGGCTTACTTCCTGCCAAATCCGTGAACCAGTTGTGAATCGCACTCTGAGATCGAGCAGTCACCAGCCAGTAGTTGTCTTTGGCATTTACTTGGGGTTTCTTCTTTCCTGTGTCCTGGAAAGTGTTAAGTTTGAGCTTTTCTGCGAGGATGCTGCTGAAGTAAGCGCCAATCTGGGGGTGTGGGAAAGCAAAACATGTGACAACCCAGTAATTAAGTACCTACTGTACATTAATGCACAAGGATTTCCATCTGAAGGGATGCAGTTCTCACTCCAGGGCAGGCCATCAGTCTAATGGGATCGTGCTTTGCCTCCCTGCAGCGAGGAAAGGCGGGTTCAGGAGATCAAACCACCCAACTGCATTTTTATCACTGCAGAGGCTGCAGGTCAGCAAAAGCAGCCAAAGGGACCAGGGCTCAGTGACACCAGTGTTGAGCTGCCCCTTCAGACACTCACTGCATGTGCCCAGAGCTTTGCATGCAGGAAAAGCTTGGCAAGGTTTGCTTTCCCAGTCCTCTCAATCACAAAACAGCAGGAAAAAAACCCAGAGGTTTTAGTCCCATTGGAAGCTTATTTACTTTCAGAATGACTACAATAGGAATGAATGTTTAGGCCTGTCAGTCAGAAAAAAATGTTTGATTTTCTAATAAATATGTCCACAGCTGGGTAATTTTAAAATATACAGAAAGCTTTTGGGAGATTAATTCTACACTTAAATATCCAAGGAACTATAAGCACTTTCTTATGAATTTCTGTTCTACTTTTCAAACAGTTCTGTTCAATACTGAAAACACAAATAATTAATATAGAAGATAGAAAATGCCAGCAGGTAAATATTCTAGGGTAAAAAAAAAACCCTCAGAAGAATGTAACAGGAAAACCTTTAAAATTTCAAAACCAGCAACCCTGTCATTTACTTGCATCTCTTCTTCTACTAACAGAGCATCACTGAATACATAATTTCACATTTTCCAATAAGTCATAAAAAGTTAGAGATTTTCAGAATCAGATACCAGAAAATTACTTTGTCTGAAAACAAGTTTCTTGATTACATTCTCCCTTCAAACCCTTTCTTCCTGCTTTCCCAACAGGGAAAAAAACAAACAAACAAAGAAAAAAAAAAAAAAAAACAAAACAAAACAAAAAACCAAACAAAAAAAACCCAAACATAAATCTGGACAGATCACCAGAGGAAATATGGGATGGTTTGTTTCTAAACAGCTATTATTTTCAGTTTGGAGTATAGTAACTAATATTTTAGTGATTTTTATTGCTCTTATGTATCTCACACTTCCTTGACTATCCAAAAGAACCACAGGAGAGCTAAGCTAAATTTCACTGAACAATGCAAGTCTGTATTTTCAAGAGACCTGAAACACAGTGACCAGTCCCTCCTGGCAGAAAACAGTCCCATGAAACAGATACAAGACAGAGCTAAAGATGGGTAAATGTCAGAGACTTCCAGGGAAGGACTCACTACTGTCTCTGTAAATCAAGCACATAAAAGAATAAGAGCAAAAATTAATGTTTCTTGTACATTGAAATGCGCTTACTACATTTTGTCCTTGGCATCCATGTTTTCCCGTGAAGACTGATGACAGCAGGTAGCAGAAACACAGCTCAGCATCCTGATATGCATTGTGTAATTAACTTTCATATCAAGATTTCTGACTAGAGAGCAAAGCATTCAAGACCCAGGGACCACCACTGGCAGCTTGGTTCCAGTTTCAGTGAGTGCACACAGACTGCAAAGCCCTGTCTTACCTTTGAGGCGTTGATGACAACGTTCCTGGCAGATCCATGCTCATCACCAGAGAAGGCAGGCTGATTGCTGAAGCCTTGCTTCACGTTCACTGCCGTCAGCTCATCCTGCAAAGATGTTTGAAGTGCAAAAGATGAAGTGACAATTTAAGAAGTCTCATCATTCTGAAAAGCATGTTTTTATAAGAAAATTTTTTGCATTTGCTGGTGCATCACCCTCTGCATTCACTGAACCCTCAGAGCTCTCTGCACACTCACAGAATTTTGGTGAAGAGAACACAACACCACTGCTACCACCCGGTCCTCAGCTGGTGTTCGCCTCACTACAGCAGACTCGAGGCCCTCACTGGATGGATGCTGCTGGTTTTGCTGACAGATTTCTGCCCAGGAGAAGGGCTGCAGGACATGAGACCTTGGCAGCCTCTGTAAAACCTGGAGCGCTCCCCAGCACCCAGCCTGAAATCTTCCTCCTGAAAGTGGTGCCAGCCCGCAGCCCCCCGAGCAGCAGTGGGAGAACAGCACATCCTTCTCTCTCTCGACATACCCTGGAAGCAGCTGGGTCACTCCACAGCAGAATGCTGCTGCATGCCCTTTCCTTCCCCCAGAACCCCACGTCCACTCCTCAGCACAATAGGTTTGTATCGTTGTTTTGTTGATGTTTATAACATTACTATTCTGGTTTGTGGCCCCATAACCACCATCTGAGAACATCTACTGAAACAGGAACTAGATCACCTCTAGCAAGAGCAATTTCAGGTGAGCATCCATCCCTGCTGCGACTAAATCCTTTTCTTCTGGAGCTACTTCCGCAGTGGAAGCATTACTAGTCTCCTACTACACTATCAACTCACCTTCGTTTTGCTGCTTGTTGGTGCTTCAGCAGGCCTGGCTGCATCAGTTCCCAGCAGGAACACAGAACAGGCAGGTGCAGGGTCAGCAGCGTTAGGCACAAACACACACCCAAGTCTTCACAAACCTCCTGAGGGAGCCCCATCCTTCCCCATCTTCACTCCGTACCTCCACCAAAGTTAATATTCTTCCACAGAGGCTGTGCCATTTATTCAATCATTCAGGATCACCTGCCTGTCAGACAGAGGTTTTCCTACACCAGATGAATGGCAACTTGTTGGATTTTCTTAATCTCCCCCTGAAGAGAAGGCACAGATCTAGCCAAGGAAGCCACCACCACCTGCCACCACAGGCAGCAGAGTAACCCCAGGTACTCTGCACAAGCGCAGGTGGTCCACCAGCAGTGAGCTATTGGAACAACCCCTGAGGTGGCTGTGAAATAACCTACAAAAGCAAAGAGTGACTGCGCTGAGACCAAGCAAAGAACAGAAAATAAAGTTAAGAATGTCACCATTTTACTAGAAGATTTTATTGCTAGTTTGGGGCAACGTGTCTCCCCTAAAACAGTGACCCAGAAGCTTCCATTCGGTTTCTTCTCTCACACTTTCCCATGCATTATGCTTTTCAGTATTTTTCCAAAGTTTGAGAGCAACAAAGCAAATTGTAACATATTTAGAAGAACTCTAAGTTCTCCAGGATTTCTGAACTTAGCAAACCTCATCTTAATTTTAAATGAAATCAGCCAGAATCGCTGGAACACTCCTCCACCCACACTATTCCCCAGACAGCTCTGAAAACGCAGACACAGAGAGAGCTGAAAGTGATCAAAGAGATTATAAGCAAATAAATAAAAGGTAAATTGCAAACAGATGGAGACATATGTTACTATTAGTGCCATTTCCAGGGCTGACCCTCGTTCTGTTATCTTTAAACTTTGTCTTTCAAACAAGGTGCCTAGATAGCATTATACTGAAAATAACCAAGAACAGTCTGTCGTACTGCTACATCTACCACACTATGGGAACAAGCTGTGAGGGGCTGACAACACAAACACATCAGTGTTTGGTTTGTCTGCCTCAGTAACTCGCTCAGATTTTCCCTACTACTTCAGCAGCAGAACTTGGAGCGTGGCACAGCTGCATAACTAAGCATCACCTGAAATGAAGGCAAGTCCCCTTCGAACACCAGGCACAGAGATACCTTTATAAAGAAATTAATGCTAAAATGGATGTTCACAGGAGCTTTCATCACATCTCACTCGCACCAGCTCCAGTATCAGCTCAGGGTCATTCTCCAAGGCCACAGCTGTCCTGTGGCAGAGGGGAAGCTCCTGGGCACAGCAGCAGGAACACCAGCACAGCTCAGCTGGACACACTGATTGTGCAGGGGTCAAGCCCACTTGACGTGCCCCGTGCTAACTGGAGGCACAGGAGCCCCACACGCTGCTGTCACCACGCAGTGTGTCTGCACCACAACACGTGGATTCCTCGGGGCTCCTGCAGGGACAGCAAGCTGCCTTTCCAAATGGCAAGCGAGGCCCCAAATGCCCACAATCAAGGCTTAAACCCCTTCTGCAGTTCTAAATAACCAAGGGAACATTCAGGCCCAACTTGCAATAATTTTCTTCAGAAAGAATTTTACTTGTTTCGTGGGGGATATTCAAGCCCCACGTGCAGCCTGGTGTGAACACAACACAAACAGATGGGATCTGCAGAGAAGGGCCGCCCAACAAGCTCAGAATGAGGCTCCCAGGAGCAGAGCAGCACCAGCTCCACAGGCAGCAGACCCTGACAAACTGGCACAGACACTGAGAAGGCCCAGCTGGAATATTGGGGGCAATACTGGAGAGGCCTCAGACAGAAACTTTAACTGCTTTACCTATCCTACCAGTGAGGACGTGGCCTGGGCTACTGCAGGGTGGTTTTTTTCGTGGCTGGGCTTCGTGAATGAAGATTTGGGAAGGGCTCTCCCCACACTTGCTACAAGCGTGCTGATGGCTACAAAGGCCAATGTGAGATAGACAAGTCCGGTTGCAAAAGACACACAAAAACCTTGCACCAACACAGGTGGAATGAAGACTTTCCCTCAAGCTACATCTCAATCAATCCCACCACGGTCAACAACAATAAGCCTATTGCAGTTATTTCCTGCTTACTAATGCACCCACGAAACCTATTTTAAATACGAACCATCTGGGCACTTGCCACTTCCACTGTTATTGTAATGGGCTGCATATTTATAAACGTGTCTGCAAGAATCAATCCACCACCAGACTAAAAGTATTCAACAGTTCAGAGCTAAAAATTCACCTCCAGACATTGTCATAGCTGAGTTTGGATGCAGTTCTGCAAGCCTGGCCAAGACCATGCACAGAAAGTACACTTAGAGGAATATTTCCAGTTACTGTTACCATCAAGGTTGTAAGTATGATGCACAGTGGCACAAGAGTGATGAGTCAGAAAGATGCCAGAGGTCAAAAACACTGAGGTATGTCTCCAAGGATTAGCAGTAGACTTGAATCCACATCTTTTACTGCCTGTTGTCCAAGACCCTCTCAGTCAGCACTGACCAACAGCAGGACTTTGATGAGCACTCTCCAGCTTATATAAACTAGATGATGATGCTCATAAATCACTAACAAATTACTCTAATTAGCCTCCATGCCGGAAGCTTCATCAACACGACAACAGACCAGGGAGAAAGCGAAGCACAAAGAAGGCTGCATGGCTGCCCTGCTGTACTTGCTCCCTTTAACCAGAGCTCATCCTCATTGCCAGCCTGACGACTTCCACGAGTGCCAAATTCACCAGTAACACCAGCACAGGAGACTCCAGAGGCCAGGGGTACCTGCACACACAGCTTCGCATACAAACCACAACACAACACACAAGGCCAATCTCAGAGAGACCTCTTGACTTTACCGGGAGACATCCCACTGACAAAACCTTCCCAGAGGCTCCTTCCACTCACCCATGGAGGGTTAGCGGCTGGCAAGCAAGACTGGGAAGCCAAGCTGAGGAGAGCAGTGCCCTACGGGGCTTTGCTAGATCAGCAAGCCACCTCACAGCACCCACCTGAGCTATATGCTTGTCCCAGCTCCAGTGACAGTGGGTCTCTACAGGTTTGGTTGTGGTACCCGTGGGAAAAACAGCCACAGCCTGATGGAAGAGAATAACCTACAGCCCCACTCACCTCCCCTCTGTTTTCAGATGCATTTCCCGACCTCCAGCACCCTCCAACCCCTTCATTCCTCTGACGGCAGGTCCACTGCTGTTAAGTCAGACACATGGTGGGCAGCTCAGCAGGACCACGCTCACTTTGGCCACCGGCACCCCTCACCCTCCGGGCAGCTCGTGCCCCTCACGGGCCAGGGATGCCCTTCACGGGTCGGGGGTGCCTCCCATGGTACTGCTCACGGGCCAGGGGTGCCCCTCACTGCCGAGGCTCCTGCAGCCTCCCGGCCGCCCCGGGGACGAGCTCGGGGCCGCGGTGAGCGGGGGCGGTGAGCGGGACGGCCGCCCCCACATCACCGCAGAAAATGCAAGTCAGCGGCGGCTCGGCGGCCGCCGGCGCCGCTCAAAAGTTTGGGGGGAGGCGCCGGGCAGGGAGCCGCGGGCGGGGGCCCCGCCGCTCTCACCTCCTTCTGGCGCGGGTCCTGCGGGTAAACGTCGGGCGGCCCGAGGCGCGGGCGCTTGAGCGGGCGATGCTCATAGCTGAGGAGCCCGAAGGCGGCCATGATCGCTCATGTTCGCGGGCCCCGAGCACCAGGGAGCAGCGTGGGCGGCCCCCCCCTCACCCCGCGCCGGGGGCGGGCTGCGGGGCCGGGCGGGGGCGGCGCGGCTCGGCCCACCCGCTCCGCTGCCTCACGGGCCGCTCCCGCATCGCACCGCGGCGGGGCTGGGCACGGCGGCTGCGGGCGGGGACCCCCGGCTGTCCCCGGGCCGGGGGGGGGCCGAGGTGACGGGGCAGCGCCCGGGGAGCGGAGCGGGGCGGCCGAGCAGCCGCAGGGACGCAGCATCCGCACCCTGTCGCCTCCCCCATCTTTGGCATCTTCATTGGAGCGGAGAAATCGATTCCTCGGGGCAGCGACCGCCCGCCCGTCACACCGCACCGCCGCGCACAGTCCCCGCGCTCCGGGGGCACGTTCCGCCCCTGGGCTCCCGGGAGCAGTGCCCGGTCCGGGTCCGAGCTCCCCTCCGCCGCTCGCGGCTGGGGAGGGGCAGCGGCAAAGACCCTCAGTCTCCGGGTGAAGCCCCGGCACCCTGAGGCCGAGCGGAGGAGCGAGAGCATCCTCCCTCTGTTCCCTGCTCGGGGGCTGAGGGATCCCGACCCGCTCCCGGAGGTACCGCGGGGCTGTGGGGGCGCACGGTCGCTCCGGCAGCAGTGACCGCATCCCCGGGAGCTGCAGCCTCGGCTGGCCCTGGCTGAGTCCCTCCGGCCATGGCCCTCCAGCTGCCACTTGGCACACTGCTCCGCCATCCCGAAGCGTGCTGCCAGAGCTGCCCTCTCCGAGGTGCTGGAGTGGTGAGTGCATTCTCCTCTATCAGCCTTACAGTAAGAAAGCAGATCCTCCCCTTGTGCTGCGTCTCCCAAACAGCACAAACACAAGGCACTTCGGAAATACAAGATTAGGCAATGGGTTGCAAGTAAGTCTAAATAAAATTAACAGCCATACTCTACAAAGGAGCTTATGTAGTATGGACAAGAACAGGGAAACCACTCGTCTTCTGCCTCTAAGCAATTCTCTAGTCAAACCACAGAAAATTTAAAAGCTGAGGCTGAACTAGATAATACCAATAAAATAGTCTGCTCTCATATTTGTTAACACATCTTCTATTACATCTTTGGTTACTGAAATACTTTCATGCATGCAGATGTGTTTGCCAAAAGCAAGGACTAACAAACCTGATTCCTCTAAACAGGGATTAGCTTAAAAAAAACCAACCAACAAACAAACACAAACAAACAAAAGCCCAAACAAACAAAACCAAACAAACAAAAATCAAACCAGTAAATCTGTACACAGACTTGCTTCATTTTAATTCCAAGTTTGCCTTAGAGTCTACATAGTTAAACCAGAATGATGCTCTTGAATCACCTGCAGAGCATCCCTGCAATGGATATGCATCCAGTTAACAAAGCACTAAGTTGATGTGGTTCAGAAAAAAACCAAACCCTCTGTTTGCTGAAGTCCCTGGCAGTCAGTAGATGGATGCAGATGGTGCCTCTGGCCCTCACTAAGCCTCCAAGTTAACCACACTTGAAGGGATGGGTTATGTCATGCCACGACTTAGCTTGTGTGAAGAGCAATCAGATACTGCAGAGGGGCCTCCCGGCTGGGCAGGGTGCTGTGTGTTACCTGGGCATTACAGCAAGAGAGAAATACACCCGGGGGGGGGGGGGGGGTAACAAACAAAAAAACAAACAAAAAAACCCCACCAAAAACAGCACATCTGGCTTTAGAAGAAAATCTGGAAAAATTAACCTTCTGAGAACTTCCACGAGGGAGAGCAAATAATCAGGATAATCAGCAAGGAAGCCCGTCTCTGAACCCCCCACTCCCGCGGGGGCTGGGACAAGCAGAGCACTCATCAAATTACAGAGATCAGTCATCCTAAACCCTCGCTCTCAAGTGACAGGAGAAGCACTGAAACACTCCGCAAAGCTGCCCAGAAGGGGACGGGGAGGAAAAGCCTTTACAGCATCCTCCAGCCGCTGCCTGCCTGGGGCTGGGCTGGGGCTCTCGGGGCAGGCCTGGCTTGGCTCTGGGGCTCAGCAGAGGCTGCGGCTGTCGGGGCAGGGCTGGCCGGGCGCGGGGCCTCTCTCAGGGCAGGGCTGGCCGGGTGCCCGGGGCTCCGCAGCACCGCGGCTGCTGCCGCGCTGAGGAGCTGCCCCGGCGGTCCCCGAGTGCCACCATGCCAGCCCAGCAGAAGAAGCTGATCTTCTGCACCGCGGGGATGCTGAGCCTCGCCTGCGCGCTGGGCACGGCGGCGGCCATCGGTACCCAGCTCTGGGTGAGGGGCACGATCCTCTGCACCACCGGAGCGCTGCTCGTCAACGCCACCGGCGCGGAGCTGCACAAGTTCATCGGCGAGATCCAGTACGGACTCTTCTCCGGGCAGCGTGTGCGGCAGTGCGGGCTCGGGGGGAGACCCTTTCAGTTTTCATGTGAGTAGCGATGGCGTTTGAGTTGTTTGCGGCGCACTGCTGACAGCTGGGGCGGCGGGAGAGGGCTGCCCGCTCGGACACTGAGCCCAGCAACGCGGGACGTGCCAAAGCAGCGCTGCCCTTACAGCGCTCTGGTCCTCAGAGTCAAGTAACTTATTCTCTGATACCAGTAAGGCCTGGCTAATGTCTTCAAGAATCTACATTGCACTTACACAGATATCCACATTTCAAAATATTTTATAATAATACTTTAGGGGAAAAAAGAACATTTGGGGGTTTTAATTAACCTCTGTCATCTTTTTTTCTGTCAACATTTCGCCCTCTGTGCTGTCAAGAAGAACGAACTAAACCAGCAGGAATGTAATAAACGAGCTGGGGCACCGGCTGCTCTGGAGAAACAAAGCAGCCCCAAAGTTCTCAGTCTGCAGCACTAATTGGAAGGGCTGGGGGAGGCTGGCTGACCTGGTACCTGACACACACAATGTCATCAAAGCGTTAGCAATGGCTTTGCTTTATGTTCAAAAGCTATTTGTCTTCAAGGATAAAATCGATAAAATCAATAAAATTATCAAGTGAGACATTTGTATCCAGCAGCACGTGGAACAAACAGTAACAAACAGCTCGTTGCTGTGTGCAGAACGTGTTGGCCAAAGTTACTGCAGCAGACAGCTTATGAGCCTTCCACAGGACTGGCAAACTGCTCACGCCAGTGATTGAATGCAAGGGAAGGCTACCAGGTTAGGTATCAGAAATTATTCACTACATAACAGTTTGCCAAAGTAGTAGACCAAGTTAATTTAATATTATATTAAGGTTTGCTCTCTCTAAATTCCATCACTAGTCTGTTTACTCGTTGAAGTTCCCCCTCGATCGCTTTGTGTGCCATCACTGTGTGCAAACATTTCACCCTGAGTGAATTTTCAGAGAGGTTTGTCCAATCCCAAGGGATTGGGAGACTGTTGTGACCCAGGGCTGGCCCAGCCACCAGCAGCACTGGGGCTGACATTCCTCAGGGCTCAGTCAGTGGCAGCTGGAAGGGGGCAAGCTGCAGCCTTTACCTCAGAGAGCACTTAATGCCACACGCTGATCCCGCTCCCTGGAGCTGCAGCAGCCCCATCCCATCACACTGGTGCCTCAGGAGCACTCCAGAAAGCAGGACAAACGTATACAATACATAGCCATAGCTCAATGCCCTCACTGCACTTAAGCATGTCTGAGGAGAACAGAAAATAGGCTAAGTGATTTACTTCTATGCTTGTTCCCATTAAATGCTCCCCTCTGACCACTATATCTCTTTTAATTGTAATATGAATTTGCTCTGCCAGCAAACCCAGTTCAGCTGGGGAAAGCTTCTGCTCCATTTGTTCCTGCTCATTCCCATCAGTTTCTGGGTCAGCAGTTCATTTTCTAAAGGTTGCTGCCACACACACCACACACAGGTTCGTACAGTACAGTGAAAGAGTGTTTGCCTTTCAAGACAACATTGCTGCTAGAATTAATTTTTCCTGCTATGTCACATATAAAATTTTAATGACAAACAGCTATAGATGCAGGTGTTTCTAGATTTATTGTTCCCCCATCCCCAAAGAGGAGTGGATGGCCAAGCCCATAACACTGGGGGGTGAGAGCCCTCTAGGCCACCTCTCAGGGCAGGCCTGTCTCCACAAATACAGGTTTCCACTCTCTTTCCCCAAAATATACTGTTCATGTTAAGGACAAAATGCCACCTCCAGGAAGGGGAGGAGAGGCTTCGCCCGAAGCTGATCTTTCTTTCCTGACTAGTCTATGCTTCCGAGTTTTACAGAACATTTCTGCCTCAAAACATCCATGAAAACCCATTTCTAGTTAATAGCTTCTTTGTTGAACTTAGAAGAGCAGAATTAAAACAACTACCACAAACTAGCAGGAACCCCCAGCCTGATTTCAGAGACAACTTTGCCTAATGTACATAACAATGTTGTGTTTGTTTTGTTTTCAGTTTTTCCAGATTTGCTCAAAATTATCCCTGCAAGTATCCACGTTAGTGTCATTCTCTTCTGCACGGTCCTGGTCATCTTTGCTCTGGTGGGAGCAGGGTTCTTCATGTTCAATGCTTTTGGCAGCCCCTACGAAACGCTGCATGGCCCTGTTGGGCTGTACCTCTGGAGCTTCATTGCCTGTGAGTATCAGCAGCCCTGTCCTGCCAGGCTGACTGCTCTGAATGTGCTGCTCACAGGGACCCATCTATTGATACAGGAGGGTGTGGGAAGGACTATGGCTGCACTGACTCTAAACCGGCAGAGTCAAGCCAGGCAGGAAAGTGGGAGACTCTGCTGCTTCAGATCTTGTGTTTTCCAAATTGTAATTAAAAGATAAAATGGGGAAAATCCCCCACAAGGGTAGGTGGCAGGATGGAAATAGTCAAGCTGCTGCAGAAAGGCCCACAACTCCAGGGACACAGGGGTGGTACTGCATCAATGAAACCCAACACAGTCAAAACCAGGAACCAGGTAAAAAACAATCAAAAAATGTCAGTGATGTAACTGCTCCCACAACAGGAGGGCTCCAGATGGCATAAGAGAGGTCACCCC